GCCTTCCCATCGATGAGGCCGTCTGCTCGGCCCGCCCCATCAGCAGGGCACACGGCAGCCAACTCGTCAATGAGGCCTTCGTGCAGCGTCGCATCGCCAAGCACCTCAGCCGCCACTCGCTGACCGGCCTCATCGACGTGCACCGGACAGCAGCAGACACAGCCAGTGCCACGGCGCCCACCCCTGCCCCTCCGACCACCAGCAGCAGCAGCAGTGACGCACCGGCCGCTGCAGCTGCAGGCGGTGGAGGCCCTCATGTGTCGCATTTCTGCTATCTGTGCCAGTGCTGCTATGCACTGGAGCATGGCGGGGCGGTGTGGTGTGAGCAGTGGCCCGACTTCATCCGGCTGGCCGACATCTACAAGCTGACGCCCTCGACTGGCCTGCCGCTGATCATGTCGCCTCAGTGGATGGCGGCCCACCTGCCCATCAAGGCCGACTTCCACACCATGCCCCTCGCCCTTCGCCAGTACAGCACATTCGGCCACCTCCTCAACTACCAGGGGACCAGCCTCGCACTGACAAAGGTGGATGAGGCCGATGACAGCGATGGCGAGGATGGCGACGAGGCCAAGAAGGGGGATGGAGAGTGGGACGGCCAAGGAGAGGGAGAGGGGGACGGTGGGGTGACACGGCAGCGGTATACCATCGGAAGCGGCCAGCGAGGGTGGCGGTTGGAGACGGTGCCGCTGTCCGCCCTCCCTCCCCGCCATCCCTACCGCCGCACATACGACTCCCACAACCCGCCCATCCGCTACCTTGCCCGCTACCGCCATGGCTCCCTCTTCCCCTCGTTCACGGCCTTCATCCGACGGATGGTGTTGTTCGAGTGGTTTGGCCAAGAGGGGGTGGACGAGAAGGAGGTACTCGACGCGCCAGTGGGCGGCGGCGATGGGCGCTATCAGCGACTGCTGACCGAGCCCATCGAGGGCCACACCACCATCGACCTCATCTACGAGGGGCAGGGGGATGGGCGGGAGCGACTCATCGTCCTCAAGGGCATGAAGGAAGTTGAGACCATGGCTGCATACCTGTACCTGTACAGTGGCCGCGTCAACCTCTTCACGACCGAAGCGTCCTTCGAGCTCCACACGCGGCTGTTTGACCGATTTCCCATCGCGATGTCCTTGACCCGCTGCCTTCTGACCAAACACGGCCTTGCCCACATCATACCACAGTAGGGGAAACACACACAAGTGAGTCGTAGTGGGGAAGAGACATTCACATACACACAAGGGGCATGCCTGGAGTGCCCGGATGGCATTGGTGCGTCTCTATCTCTCTCTCTCTCTCTCTGTGTGTGTGTGCGTGTGTGTGTGTGTGTGTGTGTGTGTGTGCATCTGTATGTGTGCAGGTGAGGTTGTTCGTTGACTGGTGCTGCTGGCAGTCAAGAGCCTGGAGGCATAGAGTTGTGCTGTTAGCTTAGCTGCGGCGGAGGGCCCACTTCCAGCGGCTTGTGAGTAGATGGGCTGGAGGGGCTGTGTGTCGACTGCAGGAAAGTCCCATGATATGTATACGTCTGTTCATGTTCGTATGTGTGAGTTACACTGACTTACAGTGGGCGAATTCACACACATCCAATCAAACTGTGTCCACCAATTCAGTACACGCACACATATAAACGCACTCACCCCCCCAATCACAGAGCGCAGGCCAGCCTCCCCCACACGCACCACATCAGAACAGATCGATGACACGACTACCTGCCACTTCAGTGTCTGCAGAGCAAGTAACGAGTCGTCCCACGGCCGGCCAATCCACACTCCGGCAGAAGCCATGCCAATCGCAGCTGCTGCTGCCATGCGTCAATCAAACTAGAGGGAAGACAATGGAGCGGCCTAGGCCTCGTCATGTCTGTGTTGCGTTGCAAAGCCGCCACAGCTGTCAAGGCCAAATGCATCCACGACTGCCTTTCCTTCTCCGTCTCTCTGGCTGATTAGCTGGCTGACTGACCGGTGAATGAATGGCATTTGTGTGTGTTGGTGTGTGTATATGGGCGTGGGATTTGTGTGGCCAAAGGATAAGATGGGTGGGTGAAAATATGGCAACAACACGCAGTCAGTCCTCAATCATGAATATGGTCGCACCATGGTTCATGTCTGCACACAAACCCTCCCAGTTGATCTGCCAGTCGTGCGTCTTCAGTGTTCTTTCATTCCCGACTTGGTAGTCGTGCATGGCTTAATTAAGACTGTGTGTGCCTGTCGTCACTCGTACAAATGAGCACGATCGATCCCCGCCCATGCAAATCCCCATCGATCGACCCACCGTCACTCGTACATAGAGATGTTTTTGATCAACAACCATCTTTCGTCCATTCCGTTGATACACTGTATCTGTGCTCGCAGTCCATTCTGCGTCCATCCCATGCACTTCTGTTCCCCTCCCTCTCTAATTTCAAAGTCTGTGTCTCTGTGTGTCTGTCTGTCTGTCTGCTGGTGTGTGGTTTGGGAGAGGGAAGAGACACAGGCCAGTCAGTCAGTCAGCTGTAGTGCATTGGTTGGTGAGGGCCCACTTTGGCAATGGCCCACGCACTCTATGGAAACCCAGCAATCCATCCAGCAAAACAAATCAAGCCCAGAACCCCCCAGAGGACAGTGTCGTGAATGATGGGCGGTGTGATGTGTTGTGATGTCGTGTGTGGCTAACTCAAGCAGCCAGGCAGGCAGGCAGGCAGGCGATCATTCGAGGAAGCAAACCAAGCCCGAAAAACCCCCAAGAGGACAGTGCTCGAAGCGGTATGATGAGATGTCTTGTGATTTAGAGAGACCCACTCAGAATAGAGGGAGAGACAAACACAGGGCAGCCATTATCGCACGCACGAGCGAATGGGCGGTGTGTGTGTCGGCTCACTTTGGCATGGCCGCACACACAAAGTCCCCAGCAAATCAAAGGACCATGGCAGACAGACAGACAGACAGACAGTGTTGAGAATTGGCTTAGCAATAGAGGGCAGAGCAAGAGTATATATGCGGCCTATAGAGAACGACTTACTTACGAAACAAATCACAATACACATGAGCGACGCTAGAGTGATATATACGCAAAAATAGGCCCCCCGTGTGTGTGTGGTGATGGTGACAAGAATTTTCTGACCAACACACAGACAGAGAGAGAGACAGAGAGACATCGATTGTGTGTGCAGCACGAGTAGGGGTGTCTGTCTGTCTGGTGTGGCTGCATGGTCAGCCGCTTACTTGGTTTATTTCTTCGAGCCGGTGAACCAGCCGAAGAACCCAACCCCGCAGGACTTCTTCGTTGATGCTGACCACCACCACAACACATCACATCCCATCACATCACATCACATCACATCACATCACAGCCGATCCCGTGTGGTCTCTTACATTTCTTCTTGGGTGCGATCATGTGTGCGGGCGGGGGTGGCACCACGGGCGGCCGCATCATCATCACCATGGGAGGGCCGGCAGGGGCGGCGGGAGGCGGCGCAACCGGACGACCAGCACCAGGGAAGGGCGGCGGGGGCGCCATCACCATCTGCACACAGACAGACATCCAGACATCCAGACATCCAGACAGACAGACAGACAGGAAGAGACACAGCAATGAGTGCACATGGGAGGTGACATCTGCCTGTGTGTCTGTCTGCTGTGTTGTGTGATGTTGTGTGTCACTCACGGGCATGTTGATGGGCGGCCCCTGGTAGCCGCACTGCTCCGGGGTCAACTTGTGCTCGGACATCTACACAAACACACAGAGAGAGAATGGAATGCACTCGTGTCTCTCACGCCTCGCTGTGTCTCATCAATGTCTGTGTGTCGCGTACGATCCTGAGTTGGTGCTGGTTGGGGATCCATCCCTGGGGCGGCCCCTCCAGTGTGGTCTTGAGGGGCTCGCCCACCTTGACGGGCGGGCCGGTCCAGCTGTGGCCGTCCTGCATCTGGCTGGGGTGCGGCAGGGGACCCCACTCATCCACCGGCCACGGCTTGGCGTTCTTGACGTACTCGGGCAGCGGCTCATTCTCGAAATGGGCCTCTATAGACGTGGGCGCTGCACACAGACACGAAAAAGGGGATCATTATGGACGTGTGTTGTGTGTGTGGCTGACCGGCCCCCTCGGGCAGCGGCATTGGCGGGGCGAGTTCCTTGCACTGATTGAGGTCGATGCCCTTGGTGGCCCGAACGTAATGCACCAGCTCTTCCCGGGTGATTCTCATCCCTGCAGACAGACAGACAGACAGACAGACAGAGAGACAGACCGGTGGCCGGGAGGGATGGCTGCGGTGTGGGAGCCCATTGGCTGTTTACCGGGCGGTATGTCAAAAGTGAAGTTGCCCTTGATGATTGACGGAATGACAAAATTGGTGAGGCCGGGCGGCAGCATCGTGGTCTTCTCGTGGGGAATCACCTACACAGACAGACAGAGACACACATGGTGGGAGGGGAGGGAGGCAGAGAGGCCTGTGGTGCGACTTATGTGGGCGAGTGTGCTGACCACGGGGTATTTGTTGTGTTTGTAATCGTAGACCGGCACCTCATAGGGCTTCGGCACGTCGACGTACCTGAAGGCACACACACAGAGACCTTCAATCAGTGCAGTCGTGTGTGTGGTGTGCCCACTGACTTGACGACTTCCACCTCCCGCTCGATGACCTCCTCCCTGACAGCACCATCAGCGACACAGACAGCATCACACACACAGTGGATGGATGGATGTGTGTCTGTGTGTGGGTACCGTTCGACGGGCACCTCCCGCCAAACTTCGATGACGGGCCCCGGCACCTCCACGTCCACCACCTGCACACACGCACCGAAGTGGTCTGTGTGGTGTGTGTGGTCTTTCATGTGTGTGTGTGTGTACTCGTTCTTCAGTGATGATTTTGGGGACTTCTTTGATGACCGGCACCGGCACGTCCACGTACTGGGGCACCGGCACGTGCTCAATCCGCTCGATGGTCTTGACATCCACCTTGGGCACATACTTGATCACCGGCACCTGTACCTGCGGACAGGCAGACAGGCAGGAATCGATGTATGGTCAGCGTGTCTGTCTGTCTGTCTGTCTGTCTGTCTGTGTGTCTAGGTTACTTCGACGGGCACTGGTTTGGGGACCTCCTTGATGACCTCCACCACATGGGGCACCTGCACCAAGACACACACACAGAGAGACAGAGAGGGGAATGTCATGGCATCGACCGCAGCGCCATGTGACGGTCGGTGTGGCGTGGGTATTACCTCGACGAATTTGTCTTTGTATTGGACGACGGGCACCTCCTCCACACGATCGACCGTCTTGACCACCGTCTTGGGCACCACACGCTCCTGCACACACATGCCATGTCTCCCTTGTGGCTGTCTGTGTGTCTCCTCCATGGAGCTGGCAGGTCACGATGGTTTTGACTTCGACCTTGGGCACATACTTGTTGACCACCTGCACCTGGGGCACCTGCACGCAACACCAAAGGCACACCACCCGCTCGTGTGTCCCTTCGTGTGTCGTGTGTGTTGGGTGGGTGTCAGACGTACCTCGACGATTCGTTCGACGTGCTGGATGACGGGCACCTCTACTTGGCGCTCGATCCACGAGTGACTCAGCTCGGGCACTGGCGGACCACCTCATGGACCTCGGGCTTGGGGACGATCTTCTGCACGTGCAGCGGCACCGTACGCTCGGCGACGACGTCCTCGTAGTGCACGTCGGTGTACACGGGCACCTCCACCTCAATCTGACGACAGACAGACAACACACAACGACACACAGGATGGACACACGCGCACATGGGATGGATGCCACTGTGGACTCTCTGCTGCCCCACTCCATGTCTCCCTCCCTCCCTCCCTCCCTCCCTCCTGACTGACTGACTGACCCTTTGTGTGCCTGTCTGGATGGAGCCAGCGGGAGTAATCCGTCCGAGGCGGATGAGCTGCGACTGTGTCATCTCCCCCTCACCACCTGACGAGACGATAGATAGAACACAGAGCCCCTCAGCCCCAAGACGGGTCACCCCTTCTCTCGTGCCATGCATGTGTCTCTTCCTGCCCCTTCCCGCCTCCCCCTCTCCACTTGCCTCACCTTGTTGCTGCTGTCCGCCCATGGCCAGTGCGTCCCGCATACTGACCGGTTCGCTGGCGGCCTGAAAGGCGGCTGCCAGAGGGGAGCCGGATGGGGCCGGGCCACTCATGATGAAGTCAAGTCAGCTGAATGAGGGGCGGGGCGGGGTACGTTGATTGATCTGGGGTAGCAACACAAACGGGCTCAAACTTCCGAAACGCTCGCAAGATCAAAAGGTCTCGACGATCGGCCAGGGTTTGACCCTAAACCCTAAACCCTAACCTCGTGGCGCTCGAGTGGCAGTAGCTCCGGTTGTCGAGCATGAGTGTTGAAGGAGAGCCGAAGCGTCCCCACACACAAGGTGGCGACTCGGCCGCTGCAAATGAGAACACCCCGGTGAGCAACGCGCTGACAAGCGAACGCATTCACTCAAAAGAGCACACAGCACGTCCATCACTGATTGTGTGTGTTTGCTGCAGTCCTTTATTGAGGGTTTGGTTCGTTTGGTTCGTTTGGAGGAGCGCATCGCATCGCTGCACACACACATAGATCAGGCACGGGGCGCATGAGAGGCCCAATGGCCTCACTGCTGGTGTGCTCTCATCCACTGTGTGTGTGTGTGCGGTGCCTGCAGGTCGCACAAGAGGCTGCCGGTGTGCAGCAGTTCTTCAACACCACAGTCGCCGCACAGGTCAACCACACACACACACACACACGCGAGAGCACTGCAGCCGTCACTCTCTCTGGTTGTCTGTCTGTGTGTTCGGTGCAGACGCCTCTGCTCACCAAGAAGTGGCTCAGCGTCTTCGCCGCTCTCTCGTCGGCTAAAGATGCGCTGGGCGACGTCGAGGATGGCGTCAAGGGCACCATTCGGCCCATCGGCTGGGCCAAGCCGCCCCCGCCCGCCGACTCGGCCGA